AATTGATGCATTCTTCACGAATCCCCGAGAAAGGCCGCTCCTTACTCGTTTGCTTACCTTCTTAAATGCATCCCGACTCGGAATATGACACCGAAGTCACTGTTAACGCTTCATGGGGATGCTCTGTCTACATGTCTCACATTATCGGGTTTCTTGCAGTGTCGTGACGTATTGAGGTCCTGCCGGAACACGTACGATCTCCCTTCGAGCTGGTCACTTGATATATAGTCCTGGGTATGACGATAAACTACATCCATCAGCATGGCTTCTGCTCGGAAGATTGGAGGTTTTGAGGAGCCTGGAACCACCACTTAATTATTACTCCTGGGTATGACGATAAACTACATCCAGCAGTATGGCTCCTGATCGAGAGATTGAAGGATTGTGGAGCGTGGAACCACCTTTTAATTCTTATTCCTGGATATGACGATAAATTACATCCAGCAGTATGGCTTCTGCTCGGAAGATTGGAGGTTTTGAGGAGCCTGGAACCACCACTTAATTATTAGTCCTGGGTATGACGATAAACTACATCCAGCAGTATGGCTCCTGATCGAGAGATTGAAGGATTGTGGAGCGTGGAACCACCTTTTAATTCTAATTCCTGGGTATGACGATAAACTACATCCAGCAGTATGGCTTCTGCTCGGAAGATTGGAGGTTTTGAGGAGCCTGGAACCACCACTTAATTATTAGTCCTGGGTATGACGATAAACTACATCCAGCAGTATGGCTCCTGATCGAGAGATTGAAGGATTGTGGAGCGTGGAACCACCTTTTAATACTTATTCCTGGGTATGACGATAAACTACATCCAGCAGCATGGCTTCGCGGCCTGACGGTTGCTTCTATCATGAAACAAATTGTCGCTTCTGGGTGGTGTTTTCAATGTTCACTTATATATATATATATATATATATATATATAAACTCTTTAAACGTTACTGTTAGTGGATATTCTTATTTAGGTGCTCCAGTTATATAGTAAACTGTTTATTCCTTTATATTCACCTATCGGCCTAAAGCTACGAGAAATCATATTAAAGAAAAATTGGCGGCCTTCGGAAGGAATCGAACCAGCATCTTCTGAGGTTAGAGAGAGACACCACTTAACCAGGTGCACTTATAACCCCCTATGGTCACAAAGAGACAAGGTGCAAACCTGTCTGATTAATAAATCTATTCTCATAAATCCTCTTTGTTTATATTTTCATATAGAAACTGCGTGCAAATATTAAAAACTTCGTGCGATCATTGCGAAGAGAAATTTCGCTTGAAAGCATCATATTTGACTTCACCATACTGTCTGTTCGTTCGTGGTCAAAGCCTTATAGACACACCAGTGTAAACAGTAGTGTTCTCCCTCCCTTTCTCTCGTTCTCTCTCTCTCTCTCTTCTCGTTCTCTCTCTCTCTCTTCTCGTCCTCTCTCTCTCTCTCTCTCTCTCTCTCTCTGAACTGATAAATGCAGTTTCGATTCCTGAAGAAAAACGCACGTTTTGCTTTAATAACAATTCTGGAAATTTCAAGCCGCTAGGTAAAAATAAATAAATCTATTGTTTAATATATGAACGAAGCGTCTACTCAAATACGTGTATACACTAAACATAATTTTTAAAGTGGTATACACGTTGCAATAATACACTACATTATAGTTGGGTCAGTTGGGCCGCCGTCTGTGAGAAAAAGAGCATCATGGCGCAATTAACTTCGCAAAAGATTTTGGAAACGACATGCTCTACTCTTTGGCATTCGCGCCGGAAGCTCCAATAGAAACATTTCACAGAGCGTCAATCTGAGGACGGTGCAGATGGATGATTCTAATCGTGATTGCGAAAGAGTTTAGAGTAATCACTACCGATGGCGACGTTGTACCTTCATTCATCTTCCCACGTGACCTCAGACTCAACATGAAGGCCTAAATCAAGTGCCCTGTGGAGGTAATACTGCCTTGTGACAAGAGGGTGGCTGCGGGAAGTTCCTATGTCTGGCAGCTGGACTATGTGCCATGCCACACAAGCAGGTGAACCCTGCTACCACATCCCCTCTTATCTTGAGAGATTGAACTCACCAATACTTTGATTGGTGTAGTTCATAATCTTGTCAAATAGCTGAATTTTTGATGCTTCGCTAGGGCTATCAAGGGTGTTTTTATCGTGACACCATCACTAAATAGATTGCCAACCAAGGCTCAGAGAGACTCAATTCACCCTCCTCTAAGAGCAGGTTTTGAATTCAGAGTTTTCCTTCTCCTAGACCAGTTGCCATCCAAGGCTATAGAACCCAGTCTGTCCTGCTATTTACCCATAGCTGGAGGGAGAAGAAAGAGGATTCACACCTTTACCAAGGGTGTTAGCACGTAAGTGAATGTAATGGATTCGACTGGAATTCGAACTCGGCTCTCCGATACCTCAATCCAAGCTGCTATCTCCACCCCATGTGATCACCCTATCTCTCCAGACAACAACCCCCTTGAGGTGTGGACGCAGTTCAGCGGGAGACCAACAGACCTCATTGTAACACAAAAGATGGACTGAGGGCAAGGATACAAACAGCATTCACTAACTTAACCAAGTCGTCTAGAGGCTATGGTTGAAACCAAATGGTGATTTTATTGATAAGTTTATTCTTTAGTATTTCAAGATATATTTTGTATTATTTTGCTAAATAGATCTGTTAAAATGAGGTGTCAGCGTTATTTTTGCGTAATTTAGACAACAATTTATCCATCGTACAAACTATATATATTTGTTAACCGGGGCAAGAAATGGTTTGTTAATTTTAATACATCGAACACGAAACTGCTTTTACTCGTCTTTTAGGAAAGATTTATTGCTTTGCATAATCCTGTATGATCCTAACCCCCAGAACCTTAATTCATTGTGCCTTCTCGGCCTAAACTTTTCTGCTGACATAAAATGGAAAGACCATTACAATGTCTGACGCTCAACTTCTCGAGAGCAACTCTCTGCGGCTGCTCGGTCTCACGTTGACGGCTGACCTGAGATGGAACAAATACATTGAGTCAATTGCTTCGTCCACCGCGAGGAAATTTTTCTCCCCGGAATCGATCCTCCAGATCTACAAATCAACCATTCGCCCTTGCATGGAGTATTGCTGCCATATATGGTCTGGAGCCCCTTCTGTTTGCCTCGGGGTTCTTGATAGGCTCCAGAGGCGGATATGCAATATAATTGGCGCTGCTCTGGCATCTCGTCTACAGTCGCTCTCTCACAGACGCGCCGTAGCCTCTCTCTGTCTTTTTTACAAATACTTTCATGGTAATTGCTCCGATGAGCTGCATTCGCAGGTTCCCAGACTTCATGAGTTCAAGCGCCCTACGAGGCTGGCATCCCGCTCTCACCTATTCACTGTCGAAACTACTAAATGTAGCCGTCTCTTCTACTCCAATAGCTTCATGTCTCGCACCTCTCGCCTGTGGAATTCCCTTCCTTATTCCACTTTCCCTGACAGCTATAATCTCCAGCTATTCAAATGTAATGTCAATCGACATCTCCAGTTGCCTTGATCTATCCACTACCCTTCTCCTCATCCTTTCTTCTATCACTCCTATCTGATCTTGCTCCAAATTTTCTGTAACCCCTTGCGTCCTAGCGGCTTCCCGCCTTGCTTGGGGTGAAACGCTTAAATATATATATATATATATATATATATATATATATATATATATATATATATATATATAGAATCAATTGCTAGGTCTGCTGCTAGGAAAGTTGGTTCACCGTGTCGTGCTAGACAATTTTAGTTTCAGAATCGATCTTACAAGTCTTACATTTATGGCTTTTACATATGGTTTGGTGCCTCTGCTAAGTATTCAGAGATCTTTGATAAAAAACAGAAGAATCTGCTATTTTATTTATACTGACCTAGTAACTCGTCTTTAGTAACTTTTTCACTGACGTAATGTTGCCTTTCCGTGTCTTTTCTATAAATATTTTCATGGTAATTGTTCTCATGAACTTTGCTCTGTGACACCTAGATTTTATGTATTTTATCTCAGTACTAGGTTGGCCTTGGTGGAGTATGAATCCTCTTCTTTTCTCTTCAACTCTGGGTAAATAGCAGGGTAGACCGGGTTCTATACCTTTGGATGGCAACTGGTCTAATGCAGAAAGAAATCGCAACCTACTGCGGGAACAAAATCTGCCACGTCAGTCATCTGTCGAAAGATACATGATCGCTTAAGCGTGTATCACTCATGGCACAAAACTGACTGAATGGATGGCGACTAGGATTGAGGAATAAGAGAGCCGAGTTCGAATTCCAGTCGAATCCATTACATTCACTAGTGTGCTAATACCCTTGGGAAAGGTATGAATCCTCTTCTCCCCACCCCAGCTATGGGTAAATAGAAGAACTGACTGGGTTCTATAGCCTTAAATGGCGACTGGTCTACTGCAGAAAGAAATGGCAACCTACTGCGGGAAAAAAATCTGCCTCTTCAGGCATGTAACGAAAGATACAGGATCGCCTAAGCGTGTATCACGCATGGCACAACTGACTGACTAACGTGCTAATACCCTTGGTAAAGGCATGAATCCAATTCTTCTCCCCTCAACTGTGGGTAAATAGCAGGACAGACCTGGTTCTTTATGATCGTTTTCTTGATATCGAGAGTTCTTTAATCAAATATTATCTTTTGTCTTTGCAGTTAATGCTCTTTTACTGTTCTCTCTCCTTAATAGTGTTTTTTTTTCTTTTTTTTCATATTTTTCTCAGCCATCGAATATTGCTTCACCTCTGGTTTGGTCATTTTGCTACATATTTACAGATTCTTGATAGAATCCAAAGAACCAGTAATATTGTAGGTCCTAACTTGGCATCTCGGATTCAGTTATTTTCCCATGGCCGCAACATTTCTCCCGTATGACTTTTCTATAAATATATTTCATGCTAAATTTTATAAGATTTCCTCTTTGGCAATTTGACTTTATGAATTTAAGCGCGGTCCTAAGAATGTGAAGAAAGGTCTCATTATTTTATTCTTGAAATGGCTGGATAGAACAGTCTGTTATATGCCAGTGATTCTCAAAGAAGTGCGGTGGAAGATGATAGCAAGTGAGGCGAAAGAGGATAGCGGGTGAGGCGAAAGAGGATAGCAGGTTCGGCGGAAGAGGATAGTAGGTGAGGCGGAAGAGGATAGCAGATATATTAGGTGGAAGAGGATAGAAGGTGAGGCGGAAGAGGATAGCTGGTGAGGCGGAGGAGGATAGCAGGTGAGGCGGAAGAAGATAGAAGGTGAGTCGTAGAGGATAGCAGGTGAGGCGGAAGTGGATAGCAGGTGAGGCGGAAGAGGATAGCAGTTTCGGCGGAAGAGGATAGCAGGTGAAGCGGAAGAGGATAGCAGATAAGGCGGAAGAGGATAGCAGGTGAGGCGGAAGAGGATAGCAGGTGAGGCGGAAGAGGATAACTGGAGAGGTGGAAGAGGATAGCAGATGAGGCGGAAGAGGATAGCAGGTGAAGCGGAAGAGGATAGCAGATAAGGCGGAAGAGGATAGCCGGTGAGGCGGAAGAGGATATCAGGTGAGGGCGGAAGAGGATAACAGATGAGGCGGAAGAGGATAACAAGTGACGCGGAAGAGGATAGCAGGTGAGGCGGAAGAGGATAGCAGGTGAGGCGGAAGAGGATAACTGGAGAGGTGGAAGAGGATAGCAGATGAGGCGGAAGAGGATAGCAGGTGAAGCGGAAGAGGATAGCAGATAAGGCGGAAGAGGATAGCCGGTGAGGCGGAAGAGGATATCAGGTGAGGCGGAAGAGGATAACAGATGAGGCGGAAGAGGATAACAAGTGACGCGGAAGAGGATAGCAGGTGAGGCGGAAGAGGATAGCAGGTGAGGCGGAAGAGGATAACTGGAGAGGTGGAAGGGATAGCAGATGAGGCGGAAGAGGATAGCAGGTGAAGCGAAGAGGATAGCAGATAAGGCGGAAGAGGATAGCCGGTGAGGCGGAAGAGGATATCAGGTGAGGCGGAAGAGGATAACAGATGAGGCGGAAGAGGATAACAAGTGACGCGGAAGAGGATAGCAGGTGAGGCGGAAGAGGATAGCAGGTGAGGCGGAAGAGGATAACTGGAGAGGTGGAAGAGGATAGCAGATGAGGCGGAAGAGGATAGCAGGTGAAGCGGAAGAGGATAGCAGATAAGGCGGAAGAGGATAGCCGGTGAGGCGGAAGAGGATATCAGGTGAGGCGGAAGAGGATAACAGATGAGGCGGAAGAGGATAACAAGTGACGCGGAAGAGGATAGCAGGTGAGGCGGAAGAGGATAGCAGGTGAGGCGGAAGAGGATAACTGGAGAGGTGGAAGAGGATAGCAGATGAGGCGGAAGAGGATAGCAGGTGAAGCGGAAGAGGATAGGATAAGGCGGAAGAGGATAGCCGGTGAGGCGGAAGAGGATATCAGGTGAGGCGGAAGAGGATAACAGATGAGGCGGAAGAGGATAACAAGTGACGCGGAAGAGGATAGCAGGTGAGGCGGAAGAGGATAGCAGGTGAGGCGGAAGAGGATAACTGGAGAGGTGGAAGAGGATAGCAGATGAGGCGGAAGAGGATAGCAGGTGAAGCGGAAGTGGATAGCAGGTAAGGCGGAAGAGGATAGCCGGTGAGGCGGAAGAGGATATCAGGTGAGGCGGAAGAGGATAACAGATGAGGCGGAAGAGGATAACAAGTGACGCGGAAGAGGATGCAGGTGAGGCGGAAGAGGATAGAAGGCGGAAGAGGATAACTGGTGAGGCGGAAGAGGATAGCAGGTGAGGCGGAAGAGGATAGCAGGTGAGGCGGAAGAGGATAACTGGTGAGGCGGAAGAGGATAGCAGGTGAGGCGGAAGAGGATAGCAGGTGAGGCTGAAGAAGATAGAAGGGGAGGCGTAGAGGATAGCAGGTCAGGCGGAAGAGGTGAGGCGGAAGAGGATAACTGGTGAGGCGGAAGAGGATAGCAGGTGAGGCAGAAAAGGATAGCGGATGAGGCAGAAGAGTATAGCATAGTTATATTTTGACATTATATCACTTATTACGAATATATTAACCAGCGTCTGCAAATTGGAGGGGGGGAGTTATCAATGATAATGTTATGATATCAAATACGTGCTTATCTCCCTTTTAATCCTCTCCCTGAATCTTCTTTGCCGTAGTGTTGCTGGCGCCTTTTCACCGGGACTTCCCTTTGCTGAGGTTCGAGCAAAATTTCATCCCGAAAATACGGCCCAGAGTTATAAAGTTTGTTCTAAGTTTGTTTTTAAATGCAATGTCAACCATCATTTTCTGTCTTCTTAGTTTATGTACTTTTATTGTTCTTACTCTATAATAATGTGTTTTTCTGATATTTTTTCACACTCGGTAATAACCTTGCATGTTAGTGGCTTTATTGCCTTGCTTGGTTTGAAATTATATGTGTGCATGTGTGTGTATGCGTGTGTTTATATGTAAACAAACATTCGTGCACACTCGTAAACACACACACACACACACACATATATATATATATGCACGTATATATACGAGTATGCACGAATGTTTGTTTTGGCATCATCTCTAGCTATTCTCAATAAGATAAGTAAATATTCATGCTATGTTAGGAAGGTGTAGGTCATTACGATTTTCGGCATGTGTCTAAATTTGACTAGCGCTTCATTTTCTATATGTACTTTTCCGCGCATGCGTGCACGCGTGCGTTCGTCGAACGGAAAGAAAGTCAACAACTGTACTTTGATGATGATCAAGTCGCGCATGCGCCCTGCGCCCTTCTCTTGCTCTCGTTTAAACTTCGCTGTTCTTGCAAAGGCGACTTGAGTCAAGCCGATGCCGCCCGCAGGCACAGGCTTCGTTATCACGGCCACGATCTCATTACCAACTGAGTGTAGATCTCGCTGCCGCCTCCGCGCCACACCCTTAGCCACGACTAGTTCCGACGCAAACTCCCCACTTCCACCTTCTCCTTCGACAATCGACCTCAACCCCCACGCTCCCAGCCCGAGCACGGGGATCGTGGCCAAAACAAGCCTAAATTTCATCACTGCGGATATGTGATCAGCGACGGATTGTACATCAAACTATGCGATATGTCTACCGTGGATTTGTCAGACTTGATCTCTAGTCTGGCCGTCTTTGAAGGAAATATTGTGCTAAAAGCGAATGTCGGAAATCCTTGCATACCAGAAGACGTCCATCTGCACACCTGATTGCGAACGTTCGTCTCATCAATACGGTTTAGGTGGGGTTGGTGTCTTTTACGACATATCAATCTCTATTGGGTCATTTAATGTCGAAATTATATTTGAGTCAATCGGTGAATATTAGTTTGGCTTTCTTCCTGAGTTCATACATAAAAATTAGGACGAGTTTATGATTGTGTCTATAGGTAAATATCGATTATTTTATAGATTAATGTACAGGGTGCTTATGCTTGAGGAAACAGGTAAATTTCGATTTGTTTTACACATGAGTCTTTACGCAAAAATTGGTTGAGTTTATTATTGTGTTTATAGTTTAATATTGGTTCATTTTACACATGGATTTATAATTCAAGGTACGTGGGTTTTATACTTGAATCTACAGATAAATATTGCGTTGATTTCTACCTGAGTCTATAGTTAAATTTTGGTCTGTTTTATACTTAAATATATAGTTTCATTTTCTGTTTGTTTTATACTTGAGTCTATATGTCGACTTTATACTTGTGCTTATAGCTAAATTTTGTTTTGTTTATCTTTGAGCCTATATTTAAATTTTGGTTTGTTTTATACTTAAATCTATAGTTTCATTTTCTGTTTGTTTTATACTTGTGTCTATATGTCGACTTTACATTTGTACTTATAGCTAATTTTGTTTTGTTTATACTTGTGTTTGTAGTTAGATTTTGGTCTGTTTTATACTTAAATTTATAGTTTATTTTCTGTTTGTTTTATACTTGAGTCCGTAGATATATCGACTTTATACTTGTGCTTAAAGCTAAAATTTTGTTTTGTTTATCCTTGAGCCTATATTTAAATTTTGGTTTTATTTTATATGTTAACCTATAGTTTCATTTTCTTTTTGTTTTATACTTGAGTCTGTAGATATTATCGACATTATACTTTTGCTTATAGTTAAATTTTGTTTTGTTTATACTTGAGTCTGTAGTCAAATGTTGTTTTGTTTGATAATGAAATCTATAGTTTAAATTGATGTCTATTTTATACTTGAGTCTGTAGATATGTCGACTTTATACTTGCGCTTATAGCTAAATTTTGTTTTGTTTATACTTGAGTCTATAGTTAAATTTTCGTTTGTTTTATACTTAAATCTATAGTTTTATTTTCTATTTGTTTTATACCTGAGTCTGTAGATATGTCGATTTTATACTTGTACTTATAGTTACATTTTCGTTTATTTTATACTCGATGTTATACTTAAAATTAAGTCATGTTCATACTTGAGTCTATAAATTTAAGTATTTGGGGATTATGCGAAACTCTACAGGTACAAATATGTTGTGTTTATACCTGAGCCTATAGTTAAATTGATTTGGTTTTATTTGTCTGTAGCTTAAAGTACATGGACCCTTATGCTTGGATCTACAGGTAAATAATGCTTTGGTTTATAATGGAGCTTTTCGTTAAAAAATAGGTCGAGTTTATACTTTTGCTTATAGTTAAATATTGGTTTGTTTTATACTTGTATCTACAAGTCCAAGTACGTGGAGCTATGCGTGAGTTTACAATTAAACATCCGTTTGGTATATATGTACGTCTATTGGTAAAATTATGTCGCTTATGTAGTTGAGCTTATAAAAATATAATGATTTGGTTTATACTTGTGTCTTTAAATAGAAAAGCGAGGGACGGTAGAGTAAAGGATAGCGGTTCGCAGTGAGGAAGCCGAGGAGCCGAGTTCCAAATCTAGTCGGATCCATTACATTCACTTACGTGCTAATAAGCTTGGAAAAGGTATGAATCGTCTTCTTTTCCATAGTAAATAGCAGGACATGCTGGGTTCTATATTCTTGGGTGGCAACCGGTCTAGGAGAAGAAAAAATTCTGAATTTAAAACCGGCCTTCAGGCTATATTGCCCGAAAACACCACTTCTACGGGTCATGGGATAAAAACATAAATAAATAAAAATTTTCGTCTATAAATAAAAAAAAATGTCGGTAGGGCTAAGTTTATACGTAAATATTGACCCGCTTTATAATTGAGACTATAAGTAAGGTTGAATCTATAAGTAAAATTGGTTTTATTTATACTGTATGTATCCACTCGAAAGTTGTCAACTATTTTTGTGGAGGGGGATGGATTCATCGGCACGGCAATGTTTTATACTCCAGCGATAGTGAAACTCAAAATAAACTATCGAAATAAGAAAGATATTCATATGAATAAAACATACGGTTATTTACTATCCCCCCCCCCCACTAGGACGAGATGTGACACAATGTCTATTTTATGTGGGTTCCCGAGCCCATACGTCCGGGACAGGAAAAAAAACCGACGGTTGTGCTAGCCTCGGTGCGAGCACCGATCCCTCCCTCTGGTGCAATGGGAGGACGCGGCCTCGGGCAGCTGTTCCCCAGGGCTTCGCACCTCTCAGTATTATTTTCTTCAGTTGCCCCTCTGTCCTTTGACAGAGAAGCCCCTGAGCGCATTCTACCCAAAGACAAAGACGCAACTGAGAGATGGTAAGTAGACGTAAAATTACTCAAAAAGAGCAATTCACACGCTATAAATATATTATTTATTTATAAATATGTTATATATCTATAATATACTAGCAGTAGAGCCTGGCGTTGCCTGGGGATGTAACAGTAAGAGATAGATCAAGTATCGACCATCATAAAGACTGAAAAATAAAATTGACAAAGATTATTGTTTAAGGTTGACGGACACGCATGTCTTAATTAATTTTTTTTTTTTGTTTGTTTTTTTGGGGTTTTTTTTACCAATTGGTCAAACCCAAACTCAAACAAAAACATTGTTTTCAATCGTTATGAGTCTACCGATTGAATAGAATTTTATTATAAACAATTGTTTGTAAATGGAATTTTTAAAGCATTCTGAATGTAAAAATAAAGAAAAAAGTGTGCAAGACAATAAGAAACACTACCTGCCCAAAAAAGTGAAGTTTTGTTGAAATCAGTTGAAAATTTAGGAAATCCGATCCCATATATAAACGAACACACACACACACACACACACACACACACACACACACACACAACCAACCTTTTTATTTTTATAATAAGTATAACTCGATATGAGTTGTCCCCTTTCATTCTGGCGACAGAATCGTGTTTTATCGTGTTTTCAAATTGATTTCGTGCAAAAACAATTGTATTTTTCCAATTTTTGGCCCTGTCAGAACCACCGCAGGGTAATTTTACGTAGTCCTGTGAAGATTTTGTTGAAATCGGTTGAAAAATCCGATCCAATATATAAACGTACAGACACACACACACACAATCTGCCTTTTAGAATAAGTAAGATTATATATTTATAATATATTATTTATTATATAAATATATTATTTATATATTTATGAATAAAACATACAAGCATGAAGATACATCATAGCAGAATATGGGATAATATTAATACGAAGACCTCATCGATCTTAACTTATACGGACAATAAAACTAGAATGATTTTTTTGCACAATAATTCAAGGAAGTGATTTTATCTTCTCGCGCTGAAATTGCATTTCCTTTTTCTTCCTAAAGTTCCACTTCCGCCTCCACCTTCTTCTTCTTTCACATATGTATATCTCGTTCTCCGCCTTTTCCTCACACTTCCGCTTCTCCTTCCGATCCTTCTTCCATTTTAATTTAACATTTTTCCTCTTAACCTTCTTCCTTTCATCCCTTTGTTTTCTCCTTCTTCTTCCGCATATGTATATCTCTTTCTCCTCCTCCACGTCGTCGTCGTCGTCTTCTTCTTCTTCTTCTTCTTCTTCTTCTTCTTCTTCTTCTTCCAACTTTTCTTCTTTTCCTCCTCAGCGTCCTCTTTCTCCTCCTCCTCTTCCTCCTCCTCCTCTTCTTCTTCTTCTTCCATTATACTCTTTAAGTTTCTCTTAACTTTTTCCTCTCAATATGCTCGTATTCTCATCCTCCATCTCCTCCTCCTCCTCCTCCTCCTTCTTCTTCTTCTTCTTCTTCTTCTTCTTCTTCTCAGCGTCCTCTTTCTCCTCCACCACCTTCTTCTTCTTCTTCTTCTTTACATTTCTCCTCTTAATATATTTCCTCTCATCTCATTGTATTCCCCTCCATCTTCTTCCCCTTCTTCCACGTATGTTCATCTCTTCCGCCTCCTCCTTTCTCTTCTTCGCTAAGGCAAGTTTATTTCTTTGTTTGTCTCCTCCTACTCATCTTCTTCTCCGCCTACCACGTTTTTCTCTTCTTCTTTCACATATGTCTCTCTTTCTCCCCCACTTCTCTTCCACTTTACCTCCTCCTCCTCTCCTCCTCCTCCTACTTCTTCTTCTTCTTTGACTTCGATGCACATTTATTTTCCCATTTTTCTCCTCCTCCGACTCCTCTTTTTCAGCTGGTTATACTCCTCCCCCTCCTCCTTCTCCTCCTTATTATTCTTATATTCAATTCTTCCTCCTCTTTTTTTGTTTTTTTGTCTTCAGGCTTAATAAACTTTCATGCTACCATTAATAAAATCAGATATTTCAACACATGAGCTAACAGCGTCAATTTTCCCCCTTTTAAGCTGACAAGATTTTCCGCCAAATATTTACATTATGATAGCCACTTTTAGCGGCAATAAGTTTAGAGTTCCAAACTTGAATAAATCTAAGAATCCTGAAAAACGACAGGCCGATGCTACAGACGGACAATTTGCCAAGGTAGCTAAACAAATATGAATGGAAAAGTTGATAGACTAATTATTTATAAATTTCTTGAAGATAATACATGCAGAGAAGGGGAAATTGGTTATGAATATTAATTGTAAAGCAACATGAAAAAATACTGGATAGAAAATGAGGGGGAAAATATATCGGTACTGCTGCTGCTGCTGCTGCTGCTGATGATGATGATGATGATGATGACGATGATAATGATGAATGATGTTTTTCAGAGAAGGTTGAAAATAAAGGGGAATTGAAAATAAAGAGTTCTAGAAGAGGAAGAAGAAAAGGGGAGACGAATAAGACCCAAAAAAAAGGAGAAAAAGCAGGAGAAGGAAAAGAAAAAGAAGAAAAAGAAGAAGAAAAAAGAAGAAAAAGAAGAAGAAAAAAGAAGAAAAGAAAAAAATAAGAAGAAGAAAAAGAAGAAAAAGAAGATGAAGAAAAAAGAAGAAAAAGAAGAAGAAGAAAAAAAGAAGAAGAAAAGAAAAAAATACGAAGAAGAAAAAGAAGATGAAGAAGGATAAGAAAAACGAGGAAGAAAAGGAGAAGAAGACATTTATCAAGGACACATAGCACAGAGGATAAAGACGTTAGTTAGATCCAGTGACAGGACCCAAACAGTGTGAGTTCAATACCCGGTTAAGGCAATGGAGATCTTTCAGAGGGAAATTAACAGGAGATAACTGATAACTGACATCCATTAAACATGGCACGTGGAACTAGAACAGTCTGCCACAGTGAGCGAAATAGAGGGTTCAGTTCGACATTCCAACCACCTGGCCGAAATGTTGTGATAAATATGGCGACAAAGATGAGAACACTAGTCCGAATAATGTAAATAGTATGGACAGTTTTACTGACAGTGTTCCAGGTAACATCAACATATAAGTTGCCCAGAAGATCGCCCCACTAGGAACATCCAATATACTA